TGTTGTTAAAACGAAACAAGTTCAGATGAAGGTATCTTCTAACTTCGATGGATTCGAATACATATTCGATTTAACCGCATTTGTCAAGGATGAACTTAAAGTCGGTACCGATACCGTCAACATCCCTGCATTACAGAGCAAGTATCCGTACCTTGCTCCAATCAAACCAATTGTGTATAGCTACGCCGATGTAGACCTAATAATTGGTCAAGACTCCTTCCATGCTATTCGGCCTGAGGAGTATTTCAAGAGTGAGGCCGATCCAAACACATCGCCCGTCGCTGTTCGCCTTCCAATAGGCTGGGTCTTGAGCGGCCCAATGCCGACATCTACTGGTTTCCTTTCTACTTGTTTCAAGTGCAATACGGATGATACCGAACTAGCTTGTCAAATCAAACGCTGGTATGAAATAGAGTCATACGGAGCCTACAAACAGGTCGATTCCCGTTCAGCCGAGGACAAAAGGGCGGCTAAAATACTTGATTCCTCCACCGTCCACGATGGATCAAGATACGCTGTAGGTATGCTTTGGGCAGAAAAATCTATCATGTTACCAGACAATTACTATTCCTCATTGGTTCAGTTAAAATCGTTGGAAAAACGTTTAGCGAAAGATCCTCACTTAAGGGATCAATACTCAAAAACTATCGAAGATGATTTGAGTAAAGGATACGTGATTGAAGTTCCTCCCCATAAATTTTCGAACCGCAGCATACGCGAGTGGTATCTTCCTCACCATCCCGTGGTGAACCCAAACAAACCTGGTAAAGTGAGGCGTGTCCTTAACGGAGCGTCTAAATTCCACGATACGTCATTGAACAAATCGTTGCTAGTAAGGACCCGACCTACTGCAAAACCTTGTGTTCGTTCTCCTCCGTTTTCGTCAACATCATTTTGCCGTATCGGCTGACATTGAAGGGATGTTCCTACAAGTCGGCGTCCTTCCAGAGGACCAACCATCTCTTCGTTTTCTGTGGCCTTAGGACCCCACAGCCGATGTGGTTGTACACCAGACATATCTTTGGAGCGAGAGATTCGCCAACGTGTGCAAATTATGCATTGCAACGGACTACAATGGATAATCAGGCGATGTTCCCTGACGCAGCGTCCGCAGTTCTAGAGAAATTTTATATGGACGACTACCTTGACTCTTTTGAGGACCCTGCATTTAAAATTAGTCAAGAGTTGATTACTCTGTTAGCTCTAGGTGGTTTTAAATTAACTAAGTTCATAAATAACGTAACTAAAATTAATAAAGAGTTTAACGCGCGCCGCAACAGGAAAGTAAAAATATTGTAACTTGTGGTGATAATTCTTCTCATGTTCTTGGTCTGAAGTGGGACCATATTGACGACACTTTGGTCGTAAGCCGTGGTGTCAACCGTGAACTTAAACACTCGATAACACAGCGAACAGTGTTAAGTTTTGTTTCTTCCGTTTTCGACCCCATAGGTCTCGTAGCGCCCTATACCGTAAGAGCGCGATTATTGTTGAAAGAAATCTGGCGCATTCATGGTCAACAATGATATGATGAGCTACCCGTTGATATCAAGACAAAATTTCTTGCCTGGCCCTCTGGTTTGCCATCTCTAGGGAAAATGAGTATAAAGCGCAGCTACTTCTCCGCACCAGTCGATTGGGTTGAGTAACACATGTTCGGTGACAGCTCAGAAGAAGTTTTTTGTGCTGTAGTTTTTCTTCGCGCCCGTGTGAAAACTTCACTCGAAACACAAGTTGCCTTCGTCTTTGGAAAAGCAAGAGTCGCGCCCACGAAAGCGCTTTCCATCCCGAAGCTTGAACTGCAGTTACTCGCTACCCGCTTGAAGGAAGATGTCCTCAAAGCTTTAACCATTCCTGTGTCAAACACGTTCATGTGGACTGACAGCACCACTGTGCTCCAGTGGTTAAACTCAGGTAGTAAGCAACCAACGTTCGTGGCAAACCGGATTGGAGAGATTCTGGAAAGTACGACTGTAGACCAGTGGTTTCACGTCTTAAGTGGAGACAACCCTGCTGATACGGGAACCAGAGGAATCTCAGCGGAGTCCTTAAAAACAAGCAGCTGGGTGAACGGGCCAAGTCTGCTGAAAAGTGGCGAGTGGCCGTTCAAGCCGAGCATAGAAATACTTAAGAAAATCCGCCTGGCTGGTCCCGCTTGTGACCTTAATGAAGGTTTACAGCAGGCCTCTAATTTTTCAAACGTTGCACAAAAACAACCCATTTTATTTGCATGGGAAAAATTCAGCTCGTTACGTAAACTCCAGCGAGTGGTTGCCTTCATGCTCAGACTTAGTCCGAAACACCGGCACTACCGCACTAAAGTCAAGGAAATAACCGATCCGGTTGAATTAGAAACCGCCAAACAACGACTTTTGTTGATTTCCCAAAAGGAATCTTTTGAAGCGGAATATTTACTCCTGTCCTGCAACAAAACCGTCAAAAAGTCTAGTCGTATTGCACAATATGCACCGTTTATGGGTCCTGCATTCCTCATTCGTTCAACTGGGCGAATTCGTCGCCTAGTTGAAAGTGAATATGACACAAAACACCCCATAATCCTTGATGGAAGGCATTCTCTGGTGAAATTGTTCGTAAGTGATAATCATTATCGCTATCAGCACCAGTTCTTAGACTACCTGCGAGCTGTAATTCACTTAGAGTTCGCAATCTTGAACCTTCGCTCTTTATTAATGTCCATTGAAGTCCACTGCCTTATATGTAGGAAGCGCAAAGCCAAAACTGTCACACCTATGATGGTAGAGCTTCCAGTTGAAAGGCTTGGTTACCGCCAGCCTTCCTTCACAAACTGTGGTGTTGATTACTTTGGACCCTTTTACGTCTCAATCAGGAGGAGTTCTGAAAAACGATGGTGCTTCCTTTTTACATGTATGACCACCAGAGCTGTACATATTGAGATTGTCTCATCCATGGACACGAGTTCGTGTGTAATGGGAATCGAAAGATTCATTGCCCGTCGCGGCACTCCATCAGTCATTTGGTCTGATAACGGCACCAATTTTGTGGGAGCCGAGAAAGAACTCTTAAATTGTATTCAGTCGTGGAACGATCAAGCACCCCCAGAGCTGGCGAAAAAGGGTATTAAGTGGAAATTTAACCCCCCGGCAGCCCAGCATCACAGTGGTTCTTGGGAACGTCTCGTTTGGTGTTGTAAAAGGGTATTCTACGCAATAATAGGAAGTAGAAAGCTCACTCCCGAAGTCCTTGAAACAACTTTCTGTCTTGTAGAACAATCACTGAACGCTCGACCTATAACATCAGTAAGTGCAAGTCCGGATGGTTTCGAGGTGTTAACTCCTAATCATTTTTTGTTAGGCCGAAATGGTACTAGCTTTCCTTCTCTCTCTTTCCAGGAGCACTTCGACCATCGAAAGCAATATATCCGAGCGCAAAGCTACGCCAACGCAATTTGGAGTCGTTGGCTGCGAGATTATGAGCCAGCGCTGAATAAACGCAGTAAGTGGCACTCCGATAGTGACGTTATTTTAAAAACAGGGGATTTAGTGTGGACTGTTGACGAACGCAGCCCAAGGGGACACTACCCTCTGGCTCGTATAAAAACCCTTAATTACGGAAAAGACAACATAGCCCGATCCGCCGTAGTTACCACCCGCTCCGGGGAGCTAACTCGACCGGCCGTAAAACTCGCACCCGTTTTCGCTCCTTTGGGCGCGGAAGATGTTTGCGCTTAAATAAATCTTAAATTAATGACGGCATTATGGCGCGAAAGTGAAAAAGCTAAAATTAGATTTTCTTAGACAAAAGGCCTTGAAAACTACTGGTTTGTCCGATTGAGGTCAGTTTGCCATCAAAATGTTTATAGATTTTTGAGATTGTTTTGGAAACCGTATTGCTAAAATGCTAACCGAAAATGTTAAACTCATTGTTGTCATATATTACTTACTCTTCATATTATCTGTTAAGTTGCCGATAATTTACAGATTTTGAAGCAGGTTTTTGTAGATCTTACAGGATACGAGAGTGCGGCACAGCCATACGCAATCAATTATAGTCCATTTATAACCCAATCATTTCATTGGCTTATTAATAGAAATTAAATCAGTTATTTTTCTTTTAAACTCTATTGTATTGGACTATATTGGATTATAATCGGTATAAATGTAAATCTACTCGACTTCTTAAGCTACTTACCTCCGCCTGTTTTTTTGAAAAACAGTTTCCCTTGCAACGTTCTAGTTCTGAATATACACAAAAAACTTTTAGAAAACCCGCTCTTGAGTAAAACGGAGTATATACAATCAGGCGCGGATCTAGGAATTTCTCGAGGGGGGCTGATTTTCAAAAAAAATTGAAAATTTTTTCGACCTTTTTTTTTAGGTCGACCAAACTGATTTTCTGAGTTCTCCCCAGCCACTATAAAGACTCTAACTTGACGAAATTGTCTGCGGTGCAGGCAAATTTTGAAAAAAGGTCAAAAAACGCTTTTTAAGCACTTTTTGGAAAATTTCGAGCAAAAAGTCGCGTTTTTTCGGCGCGCGCTCCCCCCTCAAAATTAGTATAGATTGGCGCCAAAGGCGCCTTTAGAAAAAAATTAAGGTCAGTCAGCCAAAAATTGATATCTCAAAATAGTACAAAGGGGGGACCCTTTGGGTCGGCAGGGAGTCGAATTCCTGAGAGGAGAAGCGTGCCCCCTCCCAATCCGCTACTGTATACAATTATAATCCATTCTGATCCATTATAAACCATTATGTTCCTGTTCCATTATAATTTGTTATAATCCATAATAATCGAATATAACGGATTAAGCTTTATTCTAGCTTGAGGTATTCATAATCGATTATTATCTCACTATAATCGGTTTTTTAACATTTTTATGGAGACAGATTATGAACATCAATTATAGGCTACTTTTAGCCGTCGATCCTGATTACCTAAAAACGGGCAAAAGCCAATCCGGGTAGGACTGCATAGGGGGCTGTCGGAACACTAATTCTCTGGCCCCATAACTGTGAATATTGTACCTGAAATAGCCTCAGCCTCCGCTGTCTGTGAGCTGATTGTGACGACTTGAAGAGAGGGGATTAGGGCGTACTCCGTCTCAGAGACACGCATGAACCCGTAGTTACCACTCCCACTGATTACTATTTCATACATGGCATGTTGGGTTGGTTGAGGCGTGGTTGTAGTTGTCGTTGTTGTTGCAGTGCTTTGTTTAGATAAGGGACTTTTATTTATGAAGTAAAATTTAAAAATTGAATTTTTTTTTGTGATTTTGTGCGTTACAACTGAAAACCGAAAACACTCAGTGCTTACTTTTGTTTCAATTGAACAAACAGTGTTTAATTTTCAGTGCTTAATTGAACAGACAGACGTTATACCAGTTTTAATCCTACAAAAACGGACTCATGCTGTGTTGATGATTTTAGAAATACACAAAAATTAAAGTCCCTGGTTGTCGGTCCTGTCGGTGCAGGCGGAGGATCTGTTGCAGGCGGGGGATCTGTTGCAGGCGGTGGCGGAGGAGTGGGCGCTTGCGTGGTTGCTGCAGGTGTCGGTTCTGGGGGTGAGTTTGGGGGTGAAGCGGATGTACATCCGTTGTCGATAAAAGTACTGGGATCAAGTTCTTGCCAATGGAGTTTCATATTCAAGAAATCGCTATAATCCGGATGGTCTTCGGGCGTAGTGCAGAGATAGGAGGCTGGGCGATCTGTGCATGCAGTGTCATTTCGGACCCAATTGTGAGTCGGCTGCAAAAAATGATATATGAGTCTTAGATTTATACTGTTTGTATTTCCTCTATTTTCATCGAGTGACGTCTCCTCCTGGCAATTATTCATTTTTGAAAGCTTCCTTTGCTTCTCTTTTAGGATATACATTTTCACTAAGTTTTTTTAAAGGCGAATACGGCGCCAATATACAAAATCTTACCGCGTTGAAAAACTTGCACACGTTGAAAAACTTGCACGCGTTTTTTTTGGTCAAAATTTTTCTTTATCGCCCGGAAACTCGCTTACTGCGCTAAATATGGTCAACCTAGTCAGGGGCGGATCTAGGATTTTCTCGAGGTGGGATTTTTTTAGGTCGAACAAATTGAATTTCGGAGCTCTCCCCAATCACTCTAAAGAACCCAGTTTGACCAAACTTTCTGTGCCGCAGGCAATTTTTTGAAAAAAGCAGGCCAAAAAAGGCGCTTTTAGGCAATTTTTGGAAAACGTCGACCTTTAGAAAAATTTTAAGGCACCTTTAGGCACCTTTAGAAAAATTTTAAGGTCAGTCAGCAAAAAATGGATATCTCAAAATTGTACAAAGGGGGACCCTTTGGGTCGGCAGGGGGTCGAAACTCTAAGAAAAAAGCATCTACTCTCCATAATCCGCCCCTGAACCTAGTGCTTCGGTTGAACTCAAACAGGACGAGATGACCTGAAAATGTTGAAAATTAAAAAAAAAACAACTGCCCCGTCAAAACAAAGTATGCGTGCATCACTAATCCAATTACATCCTTGCAAGATTCGAGCCAATTGTTAAATGAAACTGGAACAAAATATCTCTGGATCCAGCCTCTGGCTAATAAACACAAGATGAAACCAGCTTAAAACTTCTCTTTTCTTCATTCACAAAACTCATTTTTATCTTATCGAGTCAGTCCACTTTCTATATCAATTTCACTTGACATTTTTCTTTTACCAAAAAACCCTTTCCTTGATATGATACAACCATTTCTGGATCGATTCGTTTGATATGAATTTTAAAAAAACTGTATCAAAACGAATATCTATCTTGCTTAGATAGAGAAAGTCAGATAAAAGCAAAATAGTAGGATTATAGAACCAACAAACCCGTAGAAAACTAGTGATTTATGTATAAAAAATTTTCTTCAAAAAATAAATGACAAAAAAAAGAAATTGAAAAAAACTTAATTTCTGTTTTCTAATGGAGGAACTTAGCACAGTGGTAAGGCTTTCACTTTGAAATCGTCAGATCGTGTATTCGATCCCATGTCATGGCAATGATAGTGTGTGAGGACAAGCTCTCACTTGACCACCAGCTTCAGGTCTACCACAACCTGACCAAACTTGGCTGCAACAGTGGTACCAAATAAAAGTTCTAGACGCAAAACGGCCTTGAGTCGCAAAAAAGAGCTTCGCTCAGCAAAATAACACTGTCTGGAATGTGGGGAGATAATACAAATGGACTATCCTCGACAGGACTGTTAAGGCCTACTGATAGCTCCTCTGCAATTCGCAGGAACTATAATTATAAATATTATTATGTTCGCGCAGAAGTACTTGCCAAGGAAGCACTAAAAATACTTCCAAAACTGGTTTTCAGTAGAATCATGAACTAAAAGTCAAAAACTTTTATCCCAATTTTCTCGACTTTTGGATAATTTCTCTTTTTTTGGAAAAATTTCATTGGTGTTCAAATTTAATTGAAACGACATGATATGTCTTTAGACTCAGTCCGATGATGTTTTGTGTAAACTCATTTTGTGAGAAAAACGAAGAAGCCAGAAAAAACACTCAATAACAAAGTTCCTCCCCATTTTCAAATGATTGAACCAAAAAAACTAAATAACACTCGCATTCAAAATTCTTGCCCATTTTTTATGGTCAAAACGATAAGCATAACAAGTACGTATTCTTAGGATAAATATTTGAAAGCACCTAAGAATTTCAAATATTGGTTCTTACTTCAAACTTTTTGGAACTAGCGGCTCATTTTGGCATTCGTTGTAAAAAGGTATCTTTTTACAAACTGTCCAACAAAACTTGCAGACAGTTCCAGAGATGTTTAAACCTTAATAGGCAGTCGGAACATTCAGGGCTTCGCCCTGATACGAGCAGTCTTGTTTACATTTGTTCTCTGAAATTCTCCAAAATTCAATGATTTTCAATACTTTTGTTCACCAAAAACTATTTGATATGGATTAAGGGGCAGTCGGAACAATGAGTGCTTTGCCCTGATATACGAGCAGTCTTGTTTTAATTTCTATAAACAAGCGCCTTTTAGTCGTTGAAACTTGCTCTTCAAATATCGCCGCTAGAATTATGAGTTCGACAACATAAATTTGTTCATGTTCACAGACAAATAATGAAAACTAGAGACAAAATGCGGATTGTATTGACAAAATCAGAAATACAGGAATAGAAATAACAGTTTGTGGAAGATTACTGCAGACACCACTGATAGATTGAGTTCAGCCTCATATGGTGAAACTCGATCTAAAGATCAAAACGCGCTTGCCGTTGAATTTTCCGGACATAAACAATTTATGTCGAGATTTTGAGGAGGCGCCAATTTTTATCGGGTTTCGTTGATTGAATTTTTTATTACTCCGAAAACAATTAAAATCCATTTCTATAGATCCATAGAATCTACAGTATTTTGGTCTAATATTTTTTGAAAATTCGCCTTCGATGTAGAAAAACTTTGACCTAAAAGTGTATTGCATTTTGGGAGACCTTTCGTTAATCAATTTTTTTTAACTGAAACAAAACTGTAAATTTAATAAACGTTCTACCGCAAGAAAATCGTAGATCCGGCTATGCGTTTAGGACAAGTTTTGTTACCATAAATAGGTCACTCAAACTGTGTTTTTTGCTTGTTAAAAACCGGTTGCCAATTTTTTGTATATCTTAGATTTCATAAAGTGCACATTTCATAAATGCCGTTTTAGGAATAATTCAGAAGGCTGTAGCTTTGAAAGTTTTTATTCAGGCGCGAAGTGTTACATTTCAGCAGCCAGTTTTCGACAACACAGACGTTAAAGTGGTCAATTGTCTGAGCCCGGAAAGAAGGAGGACTGGGAAAAGAGACACAAAAAGACTGTTAGATCAAAATTTGAAAAAAAAACTTTCTCGTAAAAAAACGGCGCATAAAATTTTAGTTAAATATGGTTTTTATCAAAAATATAAGCAGCCGGGTAAGAAAAATTAGTCATTTTGAAAATTTTTATGTTCTTACCAACTCCATTCCGTTGGCGTCCAGGTCTGCTACTTTCTCGAAGCAGAACCACTCCGCACCTGGCCCCATCAATGCATATACTTCGACATGCGGGTACCACATGAATTGGTCGAACAGTTCAAGAGCCTTGTTATATTGCATAAAGTCATCAATAATTTCAATCACGTAAACAGGAGATTCGCAGTGAACTGAAACAAAAATGTAATAATAGTCGATGGACGACAGAATATTTTTATCCATTTTGAAAATATTTCGTATCTACAAAAATTGTATATATAGTGTCAGCCATCGGATGAGTGGCTTAACAGCAGGGGTGAAAGTATCGCTCCCACCCCTCCATCTCAGATATGTCAATCAAAACTGGGAGTTCGTCTCTTTCACTATCCTCTAAAGGTTTGTGATTTCAAAATTCCACTGTTGTTTGCCAATATGTACTAGTTCGAGGTGAAATTTCGCACCTTAAAAAATAATTCGAAAAATTCAAAGGTTCTCAAAAATCAAACCTACATCCCTCTTACCGGAGTTTTGAAATATCGTGCTCATTTAGTTTTTTGCGAGAGCTCTCACAAAAGTTTAGTGGAACTCTCAAAAAGCACAAAAACTTATTAAGTTCAAACTGCCGCGTCTGATGTGCGTGGGTATGTTTATCCTTACCTTCTGAAAGGAGCGTCTGTTTTCGGGTCAGGTGAGCAATGCATCCAGACGGAGACAGATAAAAATGTCCATTTGAATTTGAGGATCTCGCCATTTTATTCGAAGTCCCTGAAAAACCAAGACGTCATGAAAACATGATTCGCTCTTTTCATTTCATTGTGTTTGATTTGTCATTTGATTTTGACTTTTTGGCATTTGCAAAAGGCTTGGAGCGAAAAAGTCGACTTTATTTCAACAAGCAGCCAAAATATCAAAACTGGCGGTGATTTATCTAATTTTATATCACTGAGATGTAGACATCAGCAAGGGGTCTAGGACAAGCCGAAGGGACTTCAAGCCGAAATTAAAACATTACAAGCACCCCAAAACGCTATTTTACCATCTGCAAAATGTTGCTTTTCTAAAATTTTGGCAAGTTTAGTCCATAGTAAGCGTTATTCATGACAATGCACCACTTGTGATTCGCATCCGTTAATAACATCAGCCCGTTTTTGAAATGCATAAATTATAAACATGAAAAATGACTTCAACCATGTTTTACTTTTCAACTTTCCGGAACATCATTTGGAGGCTTAAATTATATGCAAACGCCAATAACTAGTAAAGAAAGATCATGAAATTCAGAAATTCTTCAAAAAAGTTTTCAAATTGTTCATATTTCACGACTTTATAAGGAATTATTCGGCTTGAAGTCCCTAATTTTACAAATCGGCTTGAAGTCCCGTCGGCTTGATGTCCGGCACCCATCAGCAAGTGGTATCTAAAACGGTATTTTCACATACACTGGCTTCAAACTCAACAGGCCTCAGATGTTTTGAGAAAAATAAACAAAATGAAAAGCTAAGAGTTACTTAGATTTAGATTTAAATTGAAATGAGAAATTCTAATGCCGTATTTTGAGCTAAATAAAAACTGATTTTGGAATAATCAGATTAAGGTTGAAATATAAGTAATTATTGCTTTACCAGTGAACACCGTGAACATAACTTGTCAACCAGTTATGTGCTTTTTATTCAGGTTTTGAAAGCGAATTGAAATTGACTGAAGGTAGAAAAACAAGAGAGTCACTAAAGATAGAAGTAACGGCTAATTAGTTAGCTGAAGAGTTTATTTTAAGCAAAAAATCCAAAGCTTGCAAGACTGATTGTTCACACAACATTCCTAAAATTGATATAAATCTGTTTTGGTTGCTATAAAAAATAAATAAAAAACAAAACCTCCAAATAACTAATCAGGCTTGTGTTACTTTTCCAGGGTAGTATATAACAGCAAGTAGGGCAAATTTTGTAAGGTTTGTGAACAAAACTCAAGAAATTATGTAAAATTGCATGCAGCCGTCATTTTTCAAGCCAATTAATTCTTTGTCTAAAAATGAGTTGTCAGAAACGATCAGACCCCCGTACAATTTCAGCTGGATAGCCAGATTTTAATTAATTTTTTCGTAGAAGAAAAGGAAAAAAGAGAGCAGGCAGCGAAAATACATCCATTTTTTTAGAATCAAAAATATCTTAAGCATATATTTTGTACATATCTTATGGACCTGCTGAGTTGGAAGCCAGTGGCAGTGAAAATAAACTCTTAGATTCCGCTTGCTGATGATTACATTTCTTGCTTTTTATTTCGACAATTCACCAGTGAACGATGAGATTTCGGCAATGAAGTCGACTTTTTTTACTCCATCCATTCTTCATTTAGCAAGTAGTCAAAAACGAACGAAAAACCAAAACGTTTTCATATGTGACAGTTGTCAAATTAATCGCTTTTCCATTTTTCTGTTTAGCGCAATGACTTCACAATATTAGTTGGAAATCATTCAAATAAATCTGCTCTATGCAAGTTTGAGCATTTAATATATTTGCCAAAGTTTACCACCTCGAGATGAAATCGATATGACAATTTGAATGTGTTTTCTTATTTGACATAAGTGGAAAAACTATGAAAGTGTAATTATCACGGTCGATATCTTGAATTTGCTAACTTTCTTCATTTGAATTCATTCTGTATTGCCGAGTTCATTATTCGACCAATTTAACATACGTTCTTCTTAACTGTCATGACATGGAAGAAGACCACAGTTTTTCACCATTGGCTAGTTGTATACGAAAGTGCCCCCCCCCCCCCCTCGTTAAAAGGACAGTGTATACGATTGCTACTCAGGTAGCTCCTGTTTTAGCTGGTCCCCTAGTTTTGTTAGGCCCTTAGTGTTGCTATGGCGCAGATGCAGGTTGTATGATTTTTAATCACGAAATCAACAGTTTGATTACGACTCATACCATATAAAACATTACTTTTTAAATCTTTTTCCTTTATGTTCTCTTTTTGACTTTTTAACCGCTATTTTTTGCCTTTTTAGAGCTAATTTTTGCCCTTTTCGCGTTGTGTTTGCGACTTGCAGCTTAACTTGTGTTCCTCTTTTTACAACAAACCAACAAATAATTATATTACTTCAACAGTATATTATATTTCCATTTTTTCAATTTATTCCTTTTTCAATTTTTTTTCAACGTTTTTTTCCATATTGTTTTACAATGATAAACATAGTCGTAGCCTTCAGTTACAGTGGTTGCTCAGATAATGTCGGCTAATGTTGTAGAAAAATTAATTTCGAATTGAAACTGGCTTTCTGGTTTCTACATCGAGGAGTGATCGAAAAAAAGCTTAACCACCAATATTTTAACAATGGGAGACGAGTGAACAGTGACAACATTAAAACATAAAACAATATAAAAAAACGCGGCCAGCAGAAAGCTAGAAAATTGGCAGGGGACGGAAGAAAATCCAAAAAAATGGTTTGATAAAGAATTAATCAACAGGGGCGGATTTAGGAAGGGGGCGGGGGGGCGGAAGCCCCCTCTTCAGGGATTCGACACCCTGCCGACCCAAAGGGTCCCCCCTTTGGTACTTTTTAAGAAATCCACTTTTGGCCGACCGACCCTATCGACCGACCCTTTGGCGCCAATATTTACTACTTTTGAGGGGGGAGCGCGCGCCAAAAAAACGCAATTTTTTGGTCAAAATTTTCCAAAAAGTGCCTAAAAACGCCTTTTTTTGACTGTTTTTTTTTCAAAAATTTGCCTGCGGCGCAGAAAATTTTGCCAAAATAGGGGGGCAAAACAGTGCTTTGGGAGAGCTCAAAAAATCAATTTGGTCGACCTAAAAAAAAGGTCGTCAAAATTTTCGATTTCTTTTCGAAAATCCGCCCCGCCCCCTCGAGAAAATCCTAGATCCGCCCCTGTTAATCAATGAGCTTTTTTTAATACAGTTAAGCCAAATTGGGACAACTGGATCATTAGTTTTTTTTCGGCTGGTAAATCTAAAACAAAAAAATCACTTTTAAAACTAGAAACTGATCGTGTTTTTTGATCTTTAACCTTTTGCTGTTCAATATTGGAGTTTGAACTCCTTTTAACAAGGATTCTTCAAAAACTAACATCCATCTGCGAAACTGATTTCTCGGTATGATCCTTTGTCAGTTATGGAATTGTATGTAGTCCATTGTTGTTCTTCCTTGTCCAAGGTCAAGGGCAGATCCTTCTCGGCAATGCAGAAGTAAAACTGCTGGTAATTGCAGCTAAGGTAGACAGCTTCCCACGGATCATCCGGCTGAAATTAAGTTCAAAGCTCTCACCAATAGAAAGCACTGTTTTTTTTAAAAAAAAAATGCTCGCATGCAGACAACTCGATGTCTTTCTCATGATGCGCGAAGGATACCAAATGGGTGAAAATTCTCAACCGACCAACCTTTTAAACTGACCACAACTGAAACCTGAATGAATTTATCACATATTTTGTCCAAATTTTCGAGTACTGAGCTCTGATTGGTTGGCAAACTTTTCGTGCATTTGGTCCTTTGCGCATGAGGTATCCCTCCTTTTATCATACAAAGTTTAAAGCACCTATTCAAATTTTCGGCCAAAAGGTGGAAAACTTTTTATTTTGCTTTCCTTTTGATTTTAAATTTTTACAAACATGTATATTCGAAATAACCACTTACTTAAACATATAGGCTGCTATACAATGAAATTATCTTAATGAGTTATATACCAACAACTACACCGGCATGCCTTTCAGTTTTTTCCATTAGAGGTTTCAATCAAAGTTTTCGTTTCAATTTGATTGCTCCTTATCAAATTGGTTATTATTAAAATCAGAGTGTCGTGGCAAAAACGCCAAGACATCGGAGTTAAGTTTCCACTCATCATTTTGCTCAAAAGAATCAGCTGGTGAGTCATATTAGCCGGAAAACCCCGATCCGAATTGCTCGACTTTGGGTTTGAGTTTTTCAATCTAATTTAGGTGTTGCGAATCTTACCATTCGTCTTATTTCATTTAATTAGTCTTAAAGTATTTTAACTGGTTAATTTAGATTTGACCTTGTTATCTTCATTCTCTCCGACGGAGAGAATGATCGCTCACTTTTTAATGTTTTAATTTAGAGATTAATTCACTTTTTAAACATATCTTATTTGTAACTAAGTAGAATTATCCGTAACAAAGAAACATTTTATCATGGCGCAGTCAAACAGCAACGAATCAAACGTGAGAGGTATACCTTCATTTTGGCAAAACCACACAGTGGACCCACCAATTCCTTGGGAAGAGTGGAGCGATTTATTCCAACTAGCAATAAAGGAGAATATTGATATCGAAAACCTCTTGAATCCATCGGAACGATATCACCCACTTCCCCCAACATTGGAAAATCCGCCGGAAAACGAATCCGACTCTCAAAAAACATCTCGCATTGAGAAGAATATTCGAGAGCAAAAGAGGTTCGATGACGAAGAAATGGCCTCAATAAAGTCAGAAACCAAGGAATTCAACGGCATGAGACTTGAAGAGGCGGACAAAAAACTCAGATCCATACTCTATCTAGCCCTCGGAAATGAAGGAAAGAAAATATTCGGCCAAAAGTTCACGAGAGTTAAAGTTCTACAAATTTCCTTCAAAGAATTTTGGGAAAATTTGTCCATAGCTTTTGTGAGAAAGACAAACATAACCTTCGAAAAACACAAGCTATTAAACAGAAAACAGAGGGACAGAGAACCATTAGAACATTCTGGGGGGCACTTGCAGAAATGGCAAAAAGATGTGACATTCCCACAGGAGAAGATGAGTGGATTCGAGATATTTTTATCAATAACATGAAGAACTCGGACATCTAACGGAAACTTCTCACGGAAACCCTACCTCCACTAGAAGCCTTAAATGTAGCCCTGATTGACGAAAAAAGAATAACAAACCACAAAAAAATGACGCGTACTTTTAAATCCAACGGATATTCTTTTAATCATTTTAAGGTAAAAAGAGAACCCAACCTAAACATCGAAAGAACTAACACATGTATGAAATGCGGCGGAAATTTTACCAAAGGACACCTAGCGGTTTGCCCCGCTAAAGATACGACTTGCACGACTTGTAAATATCGAGGACACTTTACCAGACTCTGTAAATCACGCCGTAAAATTGTAAATATTGTGGATAGTCAAATTGTAAATAATACAGATTATAATTATCCTTCGTAGCAGCCGGATGTAAATATCGACCGCGCTAATAGAGAATGCTGTGGAGTAATCAACGCATGGTCGGAGTCCGGACAGAGCGATAACGATGATTACTCTGTATTAAACGTAACAACTATCTACGACGACCAAGGAAAGGAACTAAAGAAACTACTAAATATTGGCTTAGGAAATGAAAACCAAGTAATTCTCAATATACAGGTGGATTCAGCTAGCCCTGTAAGCTTCCTTAAACAGAATGTGTTACACGAGTTGAAGTTACGAGACCCTTATGTGAAAATATATCCAGTGGATAAAGCGACTGAAGAACTTTATTGCGGATTTACGAACAATGCAATAAATATCACTGGAAAGGTAATCGTCCCAATTTTCTCAAATGGATGGTCTCACAAGGAATGCCACTTCTTCCTAACTCAAGGTCACAAAAAAAAACATCTTGGGAAACGACAATTTACCAAAAGTCGGAATCGAAGTTTCACAAAAACAATACACAACACTCACCAACAAGAGAACTTGTAAGTCTATCAATTCAGTTACCTCACTTGACATAGATAATGAAATAGACATGATTTCCAAAACTTTCAAACAATTATTCTTTCGGATTGGAAAAATAAAAAATCAAACAAAAATAACACACTTTCACGAACCACTAAATCCAATTCAACTAAAAGGCAGGAGGGTCCCTTTACACTAACTGGATTCAGTAAAATCAGAATTGTACAGACTCAAATCCGAAGGACATACCAAAAAAATTAGAAAACTGCGACGAGGACAGATTTATTAGTCCGATAGTTGTCACTTGTAAAAAAGACAAATCAATAAAGCTAGCTTTAGATTCAAAATTTATCAACAAACAAATTTACAAGAACAAATACCAGATGCCCAATATACACGAATTAGTGAATAATGTAGCGGCTCAAATTTCAAACAATTCCGCCGGAGAAGTATGGTTTACCAATCTAGACCTAAAGAATGCATATAGTCAACTTTCGCTAGACAATTTTACTAGCAGCCAATGCAATTTTAGCCTAGTTGGCGGAGATATAACAGGCACTTATCAATTTTTAACCGGTTTTTACGGACTCGGCGATATGCCAAACGAGTTTCAAAGAGTCATGGACTCAATTTCGATAGTTACAATTTCGAAATTAAATGGTCGAAATGCAAATTTTTCCAAAAAGAAATCGGATGGCTCGGCTTTAAAATATCGAAATCCGGAATCGCCCCACTATTCGATAAACTCAAGGCAATTAAAGACATTCCAATTCCAAAAACTCTAAAGGAATTATGATCATTCTTCGGGTCAACTAATCAGTACATTAAATTCGTACCAAATTTAGCATCCTTCGGAAGCCCGCTAAGACCTCTTTTAAACAAGAAGTCGATTTTGCTTTGGAATGAAGATCACACAAAAGCATTCGATGAGATTAAATCAGAAATAGTCAATGTTACTGAAAACACCCACTTCGACGTCAAAAGTCCCACGAGAGTAAAAACCGATGCTTCACATAACGGGTTAGGTGCATCCCTTGAACAACTTCATGAGAACGTTTGGAAAACAGTGTCATTCGCTTCAAGAATCCACATGAATCCAAATATTCAACAAGCGAATTAGAGTTATTAGGAGTTGTATGGGCGGTAGAACATTACAAAAACTATCTCTATGGCTCCGAATGTGAAATTATTACCGTACACAAAGCTCTCCTTTCCGCTTTGTCACCTAATCACGGAAACAAAACGTATCATAGCCGATTGACAAGATGGGTACATCGCCTTTTACCATTTAATTTTACTATCAAGCATTTAGCGGGAAAAGATATCGATTTTACCGACTTAATTTCAAGAACTCCTTCGGGTAAAGCAATTCCCCAATAACATTACGAAGAAGAATTCGTAGTTGCAACTACCAAAAAAATATATAACGCACTCAATCCTTTGGATAATGAAAATTCATTACGTAATTCAATTAATTCAATATCGGAAAATTCTCATTTCACGAAATTACGAAACCACGTAATAATTACAGCATTGAATTTCGTAAATTCTTTCATTTCAATCTGCAATCAAATCACTATAGAACAGAATTTTGTAACTCTAATTTTTTTAATTCTTAACAGTAGCTCAATTAGTAATCCTTCGGATCTTAAACTTATAAATAGTGTAAATATGTCAAATAACCAAATTGTAGTAAATCCTTCCACTTCCGCGATACAGGTCTGAATTGATTTCCAAATTTCCTCAGAACACAAAAAGTTAGTAACTAAATTTCGAGAAAATCTCAAGTTACCTGAAAGACCTTTGGATTTAAATACATTGTTCAATGCAAAGTTGGTTGCTTTACTAACGGAAGATGATGAGATGTTAAACCCAATTGTGAAGGCTTTACAGAAAAAAGTAGAAAACATCAACACAAATTCCCGTTACTTGCACCAATTTTCGAAAGACCTTCATGAATTCGACGGACTATTATACATGGATGGAAAATTGGTTATTCCTTTTACACTTCGAAACGCCGTTTTAAAAACCTTACACGAATCTCATCCTGGCCAATTCGGTATGAAATACCTGGCACAATATATTTGGTGGCCCCATATAAACCGGCAAATTTACTTCCACGGGATTAATTGCACACAATGCACGCAAACTGGTAAGAACATAAAAAGCATCATACCAACCACACAATGTAGCGAACTTCCCGCTTTATTTGAACCTAATGAGGAATTAAACCTTGATTTTGCCGGCCCATTAGATAACACCTGGGGAAACAATAAATACATCCTATTATGTATAGATAGTTTTTCAAAATTTCCATCAGCCAAAATTACATCTTCAACGTCATCAAACGCGGTAATCGAATTACTTCAAGATTATTTTTTATCTCAATGGGATTCCTAACTCTATTCATGTTGACCACGCATCCTGTTTTACTAGTCAGGATTTTAAATTATTTCGTAATTCTTTTAATATCAAATTAATATTTTGTACAGTTGGGGTCCATCGTTCTAATGGTCTTGTAGAAAAACTTGTTCATACTGTAAAAATCAAATTGATAGCAATGTCCTTAGAACAACAAAAACCTTC